AGGAGCCACAGGCGTGCTAGTAGGAACAATCGGTGTAGTAGTAGGAGCCACAGGCGTAGTAGTAGGAGCCGCAGACGTTGTAGTAGGAACGATCGGTGTAGTAGTAGGAGCCACAGGCGTGGTAGTAGGAGCCACAGGCGTGGTAGTAGGAACAATCGGTGTAGTAGTAAGAGCCACAGGCGTGGTAGTAGGAACGATCGGTGTTGTAGTAGGAGCCACAGGCGTGGTAGTAGGAACGATCGGTGTTGTAGTAGGAGCCACAGGCGTTGTAGTAGGAACAATCGGTGTAGTAGTAGGAGCCACAGGCGTGGTAGTAGTAACGATCGGTGTTGTAGTAGGAGCCACAGGCGTGGTAGTAGGAACAATCGGTGTAGTAGTAGGAGCCACAGGCGTGGTAGTAGGAACAATCGGTGTTGTAGTAGGAGCCACAGGTGTGGTAGTAGGAGCCACAGGTGTGGTAGTAGGAGCCACAGGCGTTGTAGTAGGAACGATCGGAGTGTTTGTCGTGAAGCCCGTCGAAGAAGTGATCGAGGACGTTGATGATGTAGTCGGAGCGGTCGGATCGCACGTAGTTACATCACCACAGAACTGGTCACCGAGCTGACAAACAGCAGGCGACTGCCACCATTTACAGTAACTCGCAGGGCCATTCAAACTTTGACAATAACGATCGCAGGTTTCCGAGTCAGTCGACGGTCGTGTGGACAAGGGCGGTACAGTAGCTTCAGGTGGAACTGAGAGAAGCATTCAGGACACTAGAATGCAGCTATGGTCCTACCGTCACATACGTCAGGCGAGCACGGCTGATCCCCCGCCTGGCAGACTGGAGGAGATAACCAATACTTGCAATAGCTCGGCGACCCGTTCTGAACTACAGACGAGGAACATCATAAAGCAGTGAGTCTCCAAAGAGCAACCTTACTTTGACAGTAAAGATCACAACGCTGCCGAGCTTCAGGACTGTAGGTGGGAGCGTCAGTGGTAGAGACTTGAAGGCGTCTTAGTTTAGCCGCGCCGGGGACCGCGAAGAGCAAGCAGCCAATGAAGGAGAGATGGAGAGTCATCGGGACCGAGAAAACACAGATGCTCACCTGAGATAATCTCTTAATATGGAACATATATCTATTCTCGAAATACGTTTGCTCCGTCATAAACCGAGACAACGTTCACTGTGAACTTTATCAACTTATGAGCATGTACCGCATCTGAGACGGGCGAGCGAGAGCAATCG